TACCAACTATGTTACCCCCATCCAAGAAGGCCACAATATGTCTCATGAGTCATAATTTGAATGATCATGGGCCTAAGAAAAGACCACCATATATAGCTAGATTTTGAATGGAAATTTTTTCAGAGATGACAAACTACAGAATAACAAAAGTACTTTTTTGTGAGGGGATAACAAAAGTACTTTGATTTGCATATATAGCAAAACAATAAAACATGTACTTAAATTTTCAAAATTGGTAGTAATAGTTTAGAAGGATAACAATGAACTCCTATGTCAATCTACAAATACAAGAAATCATGAGGCTTTAGATCTCTTCACAAATATTGGGAGTTATATTCTAACTATCTAACCTAAGCACTTGATTAAATTCAAAGATTATGGACCCACCTCCTACCATGTAAAGCATTAATTAGCCCAATAGAACGCATATGCTTAAGATAACCAGTGTTGGTCCGTGAACATTAATAAGAGGTACATGTGTCCTTTCCCTTCAATCTTTTGGCCTTGGTTGGTTCGACGTCGATGGAATGATTAAGCAAAACATGGTTCTGAGGACCACGGAATGTCCCATGCAAGGGTGGATTTAGGGGTGCAGGGTGGACTTCAGCCCCCCCACGGACATGAACACAATATAGCCCCACTAAGGTTCCTCTTGCAAATTTTAGACATAGGTGAAGTAGTAGAAGAAGAAGAAAGAGAGGAAGAAGAGGATCATGAGAGACGTGGATGAGTCCCTCCTTTTATTTCTAGGCCGCATTCGTGACTGGCCCATGTACGATGAGAAATATGAGATATTAAAGTTCGACATACAAAATGCAAGACATGGCTCTGAGCCCACATTTTGGCTTAGCCGCAACGCATCGTTGCGGTAAGCAATGCTAAAGAGGACCTTATTTTGTTCTTAAAAATTTAGAATTAATTCCTTATATTTATGGATGGAGTGAGTAAGCTTAAAACTCGATCCGCGGTGGCTAGACAGCCCCCGGGTATTCCGGCTTAAGAAGAAGATCTTCTCACGTAGATCGAGAAAACCTCCGAACCCCTGACTCACCCTTACACAGCGGCACCGCAGCTCTATAAGATGAGTTGGCCACAGACCTGTGCTTTGGATGTGAGACAGACGAGGGAGTTTTCTTCCCCTCCTGGTCACTGTGGCCGAAGCCACGAGAGTGAGTGAACTCTGACCACCCCAGGAAGGAGCAAAGATGATGTGAGAAAATATAACATCCACTTATAATTTAAATCGTGTCTTAGAAATTTCCATAACCCATACAAAATTATAGTGTGTTTCTTGAGATGGAACTCATCAAAGTCATTTACCAAAGATTTGCCATTGAAGAGAGAGAGAGAGACAGACAGACAAACAGACAGAGAGAGAGAGAGAGAGAGAGAGAGAGAGAGAGAGAGAGAGAGAGAGAGAGAGAGAGGAGGTTCTCCAAAACACAGGCTTAGCTATGTGCGCCATGGCCGATAATAAAACACATGTTATCTAGTCCTGGTTTCTCGTGACAATATCCATGAGCTTCTCTCCATCTTCATATAGGATTTTTTTTACCCTTCCTTGTGGAAGTCACGTAGTATATGCTTATACTATATAAATCACATCTTAATAAATTTTGTATAACTCGTATAAAAAGCAGTGTTATTTGACTAACTTTTACCATTACAGTGTGCACGGCCTCTAAGTGAAACTGTCGTTCATATCCTACATCATGTATTCATATCAAACCGATATTCACAATAACTCTTTTAAGCTTTTCAGTAATTGTAGGTTAAATTTTGTAATGGAAAAAACCGGTTAATGGAGGTAAGCACAAGGCTTATGAAAGTCATGGTATTCTTGTACTATAGTCATGTTAACGATGAAATTTGTATTAATTTGTACATTTTTTTGCATTTCCTCAAGTTCAATTATCTTGTTAGGAAAGTGAACCAAAAAGTCTTGTCTAACAACAATGTTTTTACAAAACAAAAATTGCCATTACGTTTTTAACCGTAAACCGGTTAGTGGAGATAAACACAAGAGTTGCCATGACATAAGAAAAAAACCGAAAGCTTTTTCTAACAACTTTTTCGTAAACACACAGCTTGCCATTGCGTGCGCCGCACCCGCTAGATGAGGCAAACGTGTGTGCGGCGCACACAACGGCAAACATGTGTGACGTTGTCTCGTGCGTGACTTATATGTGAAACTCATCATTTTCTACTTTAAGTTACGTCACACACAAGTTTTATATCTCTTTATGCTTATGGGTAGTATAAATTATTTTTTAATAAAAAACCGGTAATTGAATACAAACTTCCATCGCGGGCGCCACACTTGCTAGACAAGACTTTATCTTCGCAAACGTGCATGACTTATATGTGAAACTTATCAATTTCTACTTTAAAATAGTTCATGCACAAGTATTATATCTCTTCGTGCTTATCGGTAGTCTAAATTAATGTTTCTATTAATCAAACCGGTTAGTGGAGATAAATGTAAGGGTTGCCATGACATAAGAAAGAAGTTGAAAGCTTTTCCTAATAACAGCACTTTCGCAAAACATAAATTGCCATTGTGGCAGCACCAGCTAGATGAGGCATTATCTTGGCAAACGTGCACGACTTATATGTGAAACTTATCAATTTTTACTTTAAATTATATGATGCACAAGTTCTATATCTCTTTATGCTTATCAGTAGTCTAAATTAATATTTTTAATTGAAAACCGGTTATTGGAAATAAACATAAGAATTGCCATGACAAGAAAAGAATAAAAAATTGGAAGCTTTTCTTAATGGCCCCGTTCGCCTCGCTAAAAAAACAAGCTGAAAAACTGTTCCGGCTGATTTGTTGTGAGAGGAAAATACTGTTCCGGCTAAAAAATAAATTGAAAAAGACGGATTATAAGAGAAGCGAATAAGGCCAATAACAACTTTTTCGCAAAAAACAAACTATCATTGTGGTTGACGCACCTTCTAGAGAAGATATTATCTTTGCAAATGTGCAAACATATGTGAAACTCATTATTTTCTACTTTTAATTACGTCATGCACAAGTATTATATCTTTTCATGCTTATTGGTAGTCTAAATTAAATTTTTAATTGAAAACCGATTAGTGGATATAAATGTAAGAGTTGCCATGACATAAGAAAAAAATGAAAACTTTTCCTAACAACAACTTTTACGCAAAAGCACAAATTGCCATTGCGTGCGGCACACTTATTAGATTGGGCATTATCTTGGCAAACATGTACGTGTTATATGTGAAACTCATCATTTTCTACTTCAAATTATGCCATGCATATCGATAGTCTAAATTAATATTTTAATCGTAAACCGGTTAGTGGAGATAAATATAAGAGTTGCTATGACAAGAAAAAGACCGAAAGCTTTTCTTAACAACTTTCTTTGCAAAATACAAACCGCCATTGCGTGCGCACACATACTAGATAAGGCATTATCTTAACAAACATGCATGACTTATATGTGAAATTCATTATTTTCTACTTTAAATTACTGTCACATATAAGTTTTATATCTGTTTATGTTTATCGATAGCCTAAATTAATGTTTTTATTCGCAAACCGGTTAGTGAAGATATACAAACCACCATTGCGTGCGCCACACATGCTAGATGAGGCATTATTTGACAAACGTGCACGACTTATATATGAAATTCATTGTTTTCTACTTTAAATTAGGTCACGCATAAGTTTTATATCTGATTATGTTTATTGATAGTCTAAATTAATGTTTTTATTCGCAAACCGGTTAGGGAAGATATATCTTGACAAACGTGCACGACTTATATATGAAATTCATTATTTCTACTTTAAATTACGTGACACATAAGTTTTATATCTGTTTATGTTTATCGATAGTCTAAATTAATGTTTTTATTCGCAAACCGGTTAGCGCGCCACACATGATGAGGCATTATCTTGACAAATGTGCACGACTTATATATGAAATTCATTATTTTCTACTTGAAATTACGTCACACATAAGTTTTATATCTATTTATGTTTATCAATAGTCTAAATTAATATTTTTATTCGCAAACTGGTTAGTGAAGATATATAAACCGCCATTGCGTGTGCCACACATGCTAGGTGAGGTATTATCTTGACAAAATGTGCATGACTTATATGTGAAATTCATCATTTTCTACTTTAAATTAGGTCATGTATAAGTTTTATATCTCTTTATGTTTATCACTAGTCTAAACTTATGTTTTTATTTGTGGAGATATATAAACATGAGTTGCAAAGGAAAAAACAAAAGGAAGCTTTTTTCATTTAGACACAAACGGAAGACGGTGGATGAAGCGTTATGGAGGGCCTCTTTGGCACGGCTTATGTCGGTTTCGGCTTCATCTATTTTGTGTAAATCGAGGTACTGTAGCGTGAAAGCTGTTTTGTAAGCCGGGGTTAAAATGAACTAGAAGTCGAAAAAACTAATTTTTCTGGCTTCAGCGACTTTGAATTCATCGGTGAAGCCGTTTTGAATCAGCCGTGCCAAATGGGCCTACGCTAGTTTCCCCACCCTGTAGAATTTCTTCGTCTCCCTTGCCTTGCGCACCGAGAGATTAGAGAGAGAGAAAAATTCAAGCAAGCAATCCAAATAGGAGGAAGAGAAAGGGATTGAAAAGCTAGGGTTTTCGCCATGGCCATCGCCCACCTCGAGCTCTCCTCCCTCGAATCCACCCTTCCCACGCTCTCCTAGCTCCCGCATCTCGCATCTCCACAAAAAGCAGCCGCCTTTGGTTCCCCTCCCCGACCCCGCTGCCTCGCCCCCATTCGAGGGTTTCCCCTCCTTCCCCCCCAAATCGAATCGCAGCATTACCGACCGAGCAAGCAACCCACCCCACCCCCACCCCACCCACCCGCCTTCAAGGGTCCGAGCCGAGCGACGGCGCTGGCGATCCAGCAGGGCGTGAGGGCGGCGGAGGCGGGCGGATAATCAATGTGTACGCTGTGCGCCGTGCAGCGCTGGTCGCGGCGCGTCGCCACCATGCTCCCGTGGCTCGTCGTCCCGCTCATCGTCATCTGGGCCGCCACCCAGCTGCTCCTCCCGGCCGCCTACCGCTTCGAGGTCACCTCCCCGCGCCTCGCCTGCGTCTCCGTCCTCCTTCTCACCCTCTTCTGGTACGAGATCCTCCTCCCGCGCCTCTCCCTCTGGCGCGCCCGCCGCTCCGCGCGCCTCCGCGAGGAGCGCCGCGCCCACGCCCTCGAGCTCCACAAGCTCCGCAAGACCGCAACCCGGCGCTGCCGCAACTGCAGCAACCCGTACAAGGACCAGAACCCCGGCGGCGGTAAGTTCATGTGCTCTTACTGCGGCCATGTCTCTAAGCGCCCTGTGCTCGACCTCAATTCAGCCGGGAAGGCCCCCACCGGATGGCCTTGTGCTCAGGATTGTGGATATTGGCTGGACCTGCGCTGCTCCTCCAGCAATAACAGCTCCTTCTTGGGGTTCTCGTGGCGCTTGCTTTCGTCCTTTTGCTCGACAGCAATGAGGTGGTTATTGAGGAATATATTCAGATTTACATCCTCAGGGGATGGTGAGGGCTTGAGCATAGATTGTAAAAGGTTGGCAAAGAGAGGAGAGAATGGAGGAAAAGCCGAGGAGAGCAGGACCGAGAAGGCGAGAAGGAAGGCGGAAGAGAAGAGACTGGCAAGGCTGGAGAGGGAAATGCTGGAGGAGGAGGAAAGGAAGCAGCGAGAGGAGATGGCTAAGCTAGTAGAGGAACGCAGGAAGCTGAGGGATGAAAAAGCAGAGGCTGAGGAGCGGTCAAAAAGCGCTACCCCTGTTGGGGAGAAGGATGCTAGGAAGGAGGCAGAGAAGCGGCGTCAGGAGAGGAAGAAGAAAGAGGACAAGGGGTCAAGCAAGAGCAATTCAGATTGTGAGGACATTGATAGAAGATTGGGCCGAGACGGCGATAGGAAGCGAGACTTTGACAGAAAGAGTGACTTGGACAGGCGTGAGGGTTACAAGCCTCATTACATTGATTCTAACAATCACAGTAATAGAACAGGGGAGAGCAGATCGAAATACTTTGGCCGTATGACAGGTGGTTTCTTATCTTCTTCAAGAGGGTTTGGTGGTGGTTCCTTCTTTGGCAGAAGTGCTCAGGCCCCTGCCCCTCAAGCTAGCAAGCTTAGTAGACCTGTAGTTCCTGCAACTGACCAGGGTAATGCAATCAAAAGAGATGTCCAGCATGCAGCCACACAAGCTACAGGCAAATCTGCTACAGCTAGAGAAACTAGAAATGCATGGACTAATTTTAATCGACCTGTGAGTAACAAGGGCATTGCTATTTTATTGTAAATTCTTGTTATTCGAACCAATTGCATTAGTTATATTTTTACCTGAATTTCCATCTCAAATCTTCCAATTATGCTATATGCAGGTTAGTCCAAATGTGCAGCCACACCCTACTGGCCTTAAAAAGTCATGGCATCAGCTGTTTAGTCGTTCAGCATCAGTGTCCCCTTGTCCTGATGTTACAACTTCAGCTCATGATATGATTCGGAAGCCAGAACCAAATGGAGCTCAAGTAAACAATGCTCATACATTTCTCTCTCAGTATCCTCCTCTGGACTACAAGCCAAGTTCAAGCCAGTCCATGCAATTTCCAGGTTTTCCACCACTTAATGGAGCACCTCCCAGTAACCCACTACCTCATTTTCCTGCTGGACATATGCCCTTCTATGATGATGCGGAATCAACACTGCTTGAAGAACCAGAGCAATTTGAGGACCCATGCTATGATCCAGATGCAATTGCATTACTTGGGCCAGTTTCAGAATCTCTAGATAACTTCCCTCCAGACTTAGGTTGTGGATTCCTCTCAAGTGATGTTATGAAAGAATCACATGGGAGGCCTTCACCAATTGAGTCTCCTCTCTCAAGATCTCGTATGGCTGAAGAAAAGCCTATCAAGCCCCCGCACTCATCAGTTGCAAGAGGTCCTGGTGGTTCCATTCTGCCTGAGACTAGCAGTGAACAAGGCACATGGCAAATGTGGAGCACACCATTGGTTCAGGAAAGTTTAGGTCTGCAAGGTCCTCAGAGTCAGTGGCTTCGGCAAAACACAAATCAATTCAACCATAGTGCCAACCTTTTCAGCAGCGGAGGTGGAGCAATAAGTTCCCTGGGTACTGGTTTGAATGACAGTGATCCATGGCTGCAGAAAGCACCTTTCCAGCAATTGCCACCTGATACACCAAGCCTGTTCCTTTCACATGAAATGCCTGGAAAATTACACAACGACTTGGTTTTTGGGTCTCCAAACAAATCAGCCCGCGAACACCCCTTTGGGCCGCCTGGTTCTTTGTGGCCCAAGTAAGTACTTTCTGATGTCCTTTTTCTTTTCAGAAAATTTTCTGCCACAAAGGCTTTCATCACTGCTGATCATCTTATACTGTTAACTTGGGCTGGAAATTTGGTATAATAACTCATTAGAGAATAGTTTTGTCCTTCCCCCAGATGCAATGCTTATTTCATGCTGTCATTCAGGTTTTCCACTTCACTGCTTAGCTCTATGTATCGATGCGTTTAAGCACCAAAGTATTGACAGTTTTTTATGATAATTATTCAATATTGTTTGTGTGAATTTGTATATACATAGTTACACACACATGTGAAATCTCCATGTCTAATCGTGGAATACTACTTATTTCAAACAAGGAATGAGAGACCATTGAAAAGCAAAATGCATTATCGTAGTATAACTGAGTGTTTAACTGATACTCAAATTATTGAACCCATTTGAATGTGTGAGTTTGGATGATCCTTTCTTCTTTGAAAATTTAAAGGTACCATGCTCTTTATTCTCCAATCATTAGGTTGAAGTTTACCATGTATTTTGTTTATAAGAAGTACATGCAGTTCGGGTTCTTCTAGGTTTTAGCATATGTTTCATGAATCAGTCAAACCAATTTTGGTGTTTAAAGTTGCTACTAAAAAGTGTCTGACTATATGCTGGGCGCTACCATCCTGCTTGCACCTAATTGCCGTGTAGTCTATCCAAGCATCTGCTTAACCATGACTAGGGTCTAGACGCCACCCTGCTTCGTGCCTAGCACCTGAAGCTTTTTAGAACACTTAAACTGCAGATATGTGTTTATGGTATTTCTCTCTTTCATGGATCGTTTTTCCTTGATGTATGGACATATGGTCTACACTGCAGTTGAATTGACAAACTGCCATCATGAATAATTAGCTAGCTAGGATTGTGTCTGAGCTGGTTGCATAATTTGGTCGACTGGTTGTGATTACTGAACATAAACACAATTGCACTAAATATAGTCAGCCAAGATTTTTGTTGCAACAATGGCATTGTTAACAATTGAGTTGGCTACAGTTTTGTTTCAGGCCTGCTAGAAATTTTGTGGTAAGCAATTTGTTTTTGTTAAGCTAATTCAGAGACACATTCATTGCTCAAATGCTCAGTCTAAATTGATCAGTAAGAAGGGTACAGAAACCAAAGGCAGATGGGTAATTGTCATCATGAACTCTTGGATTGTTAGCTAATGTTCTGCCCCTGGTCATAATGTTGTGTTCTTCTGAAATTATATGCAGCTGTTGAACCATAATGTTCAATGCATTAGGGCCTGTTTGGATCACCTAGGAGGCTAGGACTAGTTGTTAGTCCACTAGTTACTGGAACTAATTGTTAGGTGACTAAAGTTTAGTCCTGTGCTGTTCGGATACATGGACTAGTAGCCATCACCTATCAGTCCACTTCAGCTTTGCCTTCTACATTCATATCTTTCGTTGGCTGTGTTGGTTTAGTGTATTTTAATGTTGTGGGCTTCGGGAAAAATTAGAGGCTAGAATTAGGTTGTGAAAAATTAGATCTCACTGCAGGCTAAGCTGTTCTGTTGCAGACAATTTGTTGAGTTATGTATTGGTTGATGGGCTTCTCTTGGGACAAACCTAGGCTAGAATTAGATTGTGAAAAATTAGATCTCGCTGCAGGCTAAGCTGTTCTGTTGCAGACAATTTGTTATGTATTGGTTGATAGCAAGTGTTTTTTAGTTTAAATTTATGTATATAGTAAGATCGGGATGGTCTTGTGTGATTGTGGCCATGAAGACATGATAAATTGATAATATGAGCTTTAGATTGACTGAAACTCAGTTGACTCCAAGTCCAAAATGGAGAATTAAATATTGGCCTGTGGATTATGCAGTGCCACAATCCTTGAACATATGGTTTTATTTATGGGGAACTACTGGTCTATATTTTGCCAAGGTTTAATGTTCTTATAGAAATATTCACTAGTGATGAACTGATGATTGGTGACTGCATCCTGTTTGACCTTCTTGTTAATGAGGCTTATTATAGGGTGTCAGCTCAATCTGTTGCTTCATTAGGCATGCAGTGGAAAACGTTTTCTAAGGTGGTAACTGTTAGCTTGTTTGTTAATTTTTTTTTGTTTGCATGGGTGGGGCAGTCCCCTTTGATGCTTAAAGATGTAAAGGTACCGTGGCTCAAGAACATGTGGCCGAGTCCATGTATTATGGAAGTTTAGTCTAGTTAGGAACTTAGGAGTTAGGATACAACTAGATTCTAGGGAGGATTTGAGACATGGCCCTATATGGGGTGTTCAATCTTATCCCATGACTGACTGCAGGAGATACATGCACACAATTTACGCAAGTGGGCTGCTACCCACATCAAAATGTGGCTCAGAGGAACATAAAAAAACTAATGTTAAGTTTGCTCAGCATGGCCCATTCATTCTAGTCTTGTTGGAGTTCTAGTTCCTAGAGACCATACTACATGCAGGACTGAGGCCCTTCAGCCTATCAGCAGGCTGCAAAATGGATAGATGATGGTAATTTGGTAGAACTAGTTGAACACATGGGCCATGGCCATCCTATTTGTGAAGTTTCAAGTCTTATGTTGTGAAGTTTTAAGTCTCACTTGCATATTTTGTGCAAGGTGCAAGATAGTTTTTTTTTTTTAGTTTGGAGTCAGTCTATTGGTGTTTGAATTTTCTTGTTTTGAGTTTATAGCTTGGCTTGCACCGTGGAACCTGTTAGCTTGAAGTTGAGTACATATGACCTGCATGACACTGTGTGTGCCTGATATCTTTACCTATTACCATGTGTGTTGTGCCCTTTGGGTGTTATGGTTGGCTATTGTGCAATTTCACTAGACCTTGTAGGTGGAAAACTATGAAAATCAATTGAATGAGACAGGCGTTTCTGAAGGCAAGAGAAAGTATTTAAACATATGTAGATTTTCCTTTTGTTCCGCCTTTCTTTCTGTGATAGAATTCATGAAGAACCCTAAACTATCAATATCTTATACCTGAACTCACGTTTATTTTTTTTCTTTTTACCATTGTTGATTGATAAAAGCGAAAACGCGAGAGCTCATGACTGTTGGGATTATTGTTTACACAGGGAGGAACTGGCGCTGAATGGAGCTCAGGAAGGTGGTGGCGGGCATATCCTGTCGCCGTCCGGTGCACATGTTGGCGGTGGTGTTGGCTTGTTTTCTTCAGCAAGTCCTGATGTACAGTCACTGTGGTCATTCAATGAAACATTCAATGAAAAAGAGAGCATAGAATAAACAGACTTTTATAATAGAAGGAAGGGAAAAAAAAAAAGTGGAGCCAAGGCTTCCTTGCCTCCTCTCTTGTAGGGTTACCGTCTTACCGAGGAGATAAGCTGGACTGTGTTCCTTGATGATGCAAAAAAAAGATATGGGGTCATTTTGTTTCCTAGCACTCACCGTCACCTGTCAACATGCGTCGACGCATTGCATTAGGCCTTGTTTTACCTGATGTTTTTTTTTTCTCTTGCGCATTATTTCCGTCATACTGACTTTGGGATTCAATGAAAATGGGGATATGGGGACTTGTCGTCGTGCACAGGCGATCGATCCATCCACGGCTGTAGTCATCAGCTGTGTTTCTGGGTTGATTTTGGTTTTTATGTTGCCGTTAACATTGTGTATGTTATTGTGTGGGTTGATTCTGTGATAAATTGAAAGTGGTAGGTAGTGGAGGGAGGTGGATGCTGTAATAGAAGAAAGGGGTTATTATATCCTCTTGTTTTGTGATAGACAGAAGAAAGGGTTTATCATGGGAGAAGTGGTGCACGCATTTACTGATCCAGCTTGGTGCCGTAAGCCCGTATGTGTGACTAAGTGCAGACTGCAGAGAAATGCTGTATGTTAAGTGTGACTAAGTGCAGACTGCAGAGAAATGCTGTGATAGGTGGTGGGCTGGGAAGTGGGGAGGTGGTTTTGCCTGTGGAGTTGTGTGGTGGACTGACTGGTGGGTGCGGCGGCCATGCATATGTTACCTGCAAGTGGTTCAGCCGTCGGTCACTGACTCACTGGTGAGCATCTACTGGCCACTAGTAGGCACTGGCGACCACGCAGCCTGCCCAGCCGTCGGTCACTGACTCCGGTTTTATATGTTATATTATCTGCACCCATTTTGACGAAGCCCATCCATTGGCATTGCTATTGGTTGATGTATGTAGAGTATATATGACGAAAGAAAGGTCTATCCATCCATGTCGTGCCCGTGCTCGTGCTTGGCGGCTCGCACGCAGCAGATTTTGCTGACTGACCTGCATGCTGCACTGGACGCCGTGAGCTAGATGAAGCTAAACTATTCCAGAATGGCAGAACAGGAGTAGAATATCCTCTGGAGTTTGGTGCAGCTCCATCGCCGTCGCCGTCGCCGTCGGCGTCGGGTAGGGCGGCTGCTCATGTTATCCTGCTGCACTCCACGTCTCCACCACGGCCAGGCAGTACGAGCCATATATAGAACAAAAAGGCAGACCATACGTCGAATCAGCGGGGATCCACCCAGTGGTTTACCGGTCAAATCGATCAGCGGTTTTGCATTCGTCAAAATCTCTGCAACTAAAAAGACCCAAATGTCATCGTTTTTGCCCCGCTAATGACTCCTGTCCGTGCTAATTGCCCCTCCCCGCGCCCTCTACTGCACGTCCGCGGAACCGCCGCACCCGCGCACGACGGCCACGATCCCTGCGCCTCGCTCCAGTGCAAAGGAAAGAAGAATCCTCTCCTCGGCTCCAAATCCTGCAGTCTCGCCCTAGCGCCCGCTCTCGCCAGCCGACCTCCTCCTCGCCGCCGCCCTCGCTCACCGGCTGACCTCCGCCGTCGAGCGACGCCATCACCGTCGTCCGCGGTCATTGCCATCGTCCGCCCCGTCCTAGAGCTCTCAACATGCTGTCTGGAACTTGGCCCTGTTCGGCTTACTGAATCTTGATTGAAACTGGTTGAAAAACACTGTTCTGACTGAATTGTTGTGAGAGAAAAACACTGTTCCGGCTGAAAAAACAAGCCGAACAAGCCGGGGCAACGGATTTACTTTCCTCGACCTCATTGTTATCCAAATCAAGGTTGGTTAAAATATCATGACTAATGCAGCGTTCCTGCAAACTTCACCACTCCATCTTGTTTCTATCTTTTATGGTGACTCTTAGTGGCAACATTTTTCTCGTACAGTTACTCAACAAGAAGTATACACCCATGAAGACACTCGAAAGTAAATTTTCCGTTCACAAGTTGATCGAAAACTAACAGTTATGCTTGTCCTACAGATTGATGAGAAATATGCAAGTTCAAGCATTGGATCCACACATTCAACCAGATATGCTAGACAAAAAAATTGTAGATGCTGGACACTTGCTTTCTTAATCTTAGTTTACCAGGCAATAAAATGTCACAATGCTGCCGGCGTCTGAACCTGAAACTGAGGGAGGCACTGATGATGGCGAAGCGATTGGTGGTGGAGAAATAAACCAGGAAGCAATACAACCAAAAAGGCCCAAGAGGAAGGTCCAGCCCAATAGCAAGTACATCGGCCTAAGTTGGACAAAGTCGTAGTTTGGAGTGCGGATCGGCAAGTGGGAGACGTTATCTGAGAAGGGGGAAGCAGAGGGGAGGGGGAGGAACGAACACGGAACAGAACTGGCCGGCTGCGTCCGGATCGATGGCGAGCGCTGCTCGATGTATCCCTAAACCCACTCACTCTCCGTGTTGAATTCATTCTAAACCAGTGAATTGCTAGTAGTGTCGTAACAATTGGTATCGGAGGTCACTCGATCCCGCAGGCGTCCGACAGCGGTGATCTCGTTCTCCCTTCCAGGTGCGTCTCCGTTCTCGGTTCGATTGCCTGGATCTGGACTCGTGATTCCCGACGGCAGGCTCTTCTCTGTGATTCGCTTTCGTAGCGTTGATCGCGAGGATCCATAGGTCCGTGCCGAGGTCAAGTTGGTCGGCAATCATTCCCCGAGCGAGCACACTGATTTCATTGATTTTCGCCCTGTTCGAGTGTTTCCTGCTTCTGGATCCATTCTGGCGGCAGTTCCAGATTACTTGTTTTGCCCTCAGTATCAAACCCGAGAACAGAAGCGCATCACCCAGATGGAATCTCAACTCAGTGACCTGACTCAGATGCTGAAGGAGTTGCAAGTGCAGAACTCCTCGATTCAGCGCACGCTCAACGATAATCTCGTAGTACTTCATGATGTTGGCGTGTGGCATCCGCAGATTGATGCCAAGGTTGAAGAGCTTCATCACTCGGTCGTCAATCTGCAGCAGAAGGTGGACTAGCTCGTGGCTCAACCTCCACCAACCGCGGCAGCCTCTCGCGCCTACGACATAGAGACCATAGACCTCACGAAGTCCGCAACTCATCGCCAGCATACGTCTTCTTCTGGGGACACACAACAGCCTATTGGCGCCGGCGTCGAAACCAGTAACCAGGGCATTAGCAACGGGGTGGTCACCACCTTCGTGCCTATCCCGGTCAAAGGTGCGCATACCTTCCCTCATCCGTATGTTGGTTCATCAGAGTCTCAGTTACACTTTGACATGACCAAAGCTATATCTCAGTTTGAGTTTCCTAAGTTTGATGGTAAAAACCCAAAGCTCTGGCAAAAACAATGTGAATCCTATTTTGATGTGTATGCCATTCATCCTAACATGTGGGTCAAGCTGGGCATCATGAATTTTGTGGGTTCTGCGGCTTTTTGGTCCCAATCTGTAGAAACAATTCTTCAGCGTGCTACTTGGCTTGAACTTTGTGCCACCATCTGTCAACGCTTTGAGTGAGATCAGCAAAGTCACTTAAATCGCCAATTCTTTAGGCTCAAACAAACCTCCACAGTTTCATTATATATTGAGCAATTTGATGATCTTATCCACCAAATACTTGCCCACACTAATCGCCTAAATAGCCTAAACGGCCGCTAAACGGTAAACGGTGGTAAACTGTTTTGTTTAGGGGATAAACGGAAATTAAACGGTTGACCGTTTAAACGGTCAAAAAACGGTCTAAACGGCCTAAACGGAACAGAGATAAACAGGATTAAACGGGCTAAACAGCTATTTAAATGGTTGTTTAGGCGAACACAAGGTAAATCTAGTTGAGTTTTATATGCATCAATTTGTATACTTAAGTTTATTATATTAATAAATATGTACACTTGATTTGTTACATGTATAAATATGTATATTTGATTCTTTTCTCATTCATAAATATAGATACACACTAAAATAATTGATTTTTACTTGCATAAATATGTATAAATCCTAGAATAATTGATTTTATATAAAAAATATGCATATTTTGGTAATATTATGTAAAACCGTTTAGACCATTTCGATTTGTTTAAACACCATCTAAACCGTTTCAACGCTAAACAGAGGGTGACCGACTGTTTACCGTTTAGCGTTTATGATAACATTGCTTGCCCATGACCCCAATTTCAGCCCTCATGTCATCATTAGTCGTTTTATTGATGGGTTGCAAGATAATATTCGATCTGTCGTACTTGTACATCGTCCTGCCAGTTTGGATGCTGCTTGTTCCCTTGCTCTGTTACAAGAAGAGGTGTTGTTGGATATTCCTTCCAAGGATGGCAAACGACAAGATGGGGGATCATCTACTCGGAGTTCTTATGCAAGAGTGTCTTATTCACCAATGTCCCCTCCAAGAGACATGGCGGGGACAAATTCAACTGGAGCTCAAAAACCTGTTGAGTCCTCTAAACCATCAGGGTTGGAAGATAAGCTTCAGAACATCAAATCCTATAGAAGGGCCAAAGGATTGTGTTTCAAATGTGGTGATAAGTGGAATCCGGCACATAAATGTTCTGCTACTGTAGCTCTAAACCTTGTGGAAGAGTTATGGCAGCTCTTATCTGAACAAGATGCAATTTCACAGAGTGAGCCTGACAAGCATAGTTCTGATTCAGGTGAAGATTTGATGGAATTGTCCTTGTTTGCTGTGCAGGGTACTAATTGTTATCAAACTATTAGGTTAGCAGGCACATTGTATCAGCACTCTATGGTATTATTAGTGGATTCTTACAGTACTAGTAGTTTGATTAGTCACACCCTGGCTAGTTGTCTTCCTAATTGGACTCCATTGCTTGATCCAGTTCAAATTAGAGTGGCCAATGGCACTCTATTACAGTGCACTCATGAGTTGCTTCATTGTCCAGTGATTATCTAGGGTCATACTTTTTTGGTCAATATGAAGATATTATCCTTGCAGTGTTATGACATCATATTTGGCATGG